AGGCCAAGGAGAGTGTTCCCCCTCTGATAAATGAGGATGGAGAACTGGCTTCCTCAGATATAAGAAAAGCTTAAGGTACTCAATGATTGCTTTGCCTCGGTCTTCACTGGCAGTCAGGCTCCTCCCCATGTCTGTCAGGACCCTGAACCTCTAGGTGTGGGTGAGAGGAACAAATTCTGTCCCAGTGTAACAGTGGATTAAATCCAAGACCTCTTAATGAAACTGAATGTATGTAAGTCCATGAGGCTGTATGTTCTGAGAAAGATGGCTGATGTGGTTGTCAAGATGCTCTGCATCATATTTGGAAAAATCATGGCTGTCGGGTGAGATCCACGTTGACTGGAAAAATGGAAATGTTACTCCCATTTTTAAGAAAGGGAGAAAGGATGACCCAGAGAATTACAGGCTTGTGAGACTCACCTCTGTGCCTGGAAAGATCATGGAGCAAATCCTCCTTGCTACCATGTTAAGGCACATAAAAGATGAAGAGGTGATCCAAGTCAGCCAGCATGGCTCCACCAAGGACAGATCATGCCTGACCAATCTGGTGGCCTTCTATGATAGAGTGATGGCATTGGTGGATGGGGGAAGGGTGGTGGATGTCAACTACTAGAACTTCTGCAAAGCCTTTTACATTGTCCCTCAATGCCATGTTCTTTGGCTGAAATATCCACAAGTGAATTTTTGAAATGAGCCCCATTCTCATGAGTCAATTCTTTCAGGGGTGCCATGTCATAACAGGACTTGCTTCTCCAAACCTAATATAGTGTTTTGGGCGATAGCATGGGGTACTGCAATATGTTTCAAGCCAACCAGTGGTTGCTTCCACCATAGTAAGCACATAACGCTTACCATTGTGAGATTGCAGCAAGGTGATATAATCATCCTGCCATGCCCCCCCATACTTATACTTTTGCCATCGCCCTTTCCCCCACAGAGGTTTCATCCTCTTGGCTTGTTTGATTATGGTGCATGTGTCACAGTCATGGATAACCTGTGCAACAGAGTCCATAGTTCAGTCCTTCCCTCGGTCTCTAGCACACTTTAAGTCATGTCTCTTCCTTGATGCCCTGAGGTCTCATGGGCCCACCGAGCTAAAAATAACTCTCCCTTGTTCTGCCAAACCAAGTCTATTTGAGCCACATCAGTTTTGGTGGCTCAATCTACCTGATGGTTATTTTGCTGTTCTTCAGTAGCCCAACTCTCGGGCACATGAGCATCTATGTGTCGCACCTTTATAACCATATTTTTTGTTCAGGTAGCAATGTTTTTCCATAGTTCAGCAGCCCAAATAGGTTTTCCCCTCCATTGCCAGTGTTTTGTTCCCACTGTAACCACACCTGTAAGGCATTTGCCACCATCCATGAGTCACTATAAAGCACTGGCCACCTCTCCCATTCAGCAACGTCTAAGGCCGGTTGGACAGCCTTTACCTCTGTGAACTGACTTGATTCTCCTTTCCCTTCAGTGGCCTCTGCAACTCGTCATGCTGGGATCCACACAGCAGCTTTCCATCTGCGATGCTTCCCTACAATATGACACAAATCATCTGTGAACAGGGCATATTTTTTTCATTTTCTTGTAGTTCATCATATGGTGGGGCCTCTTAAGCATGCAATACCTCTTCTGCTGGTGATGTTCCAAACTTTTTGCCTTCAGGCCAGTCCATAATCAACTCTAGGATTCCTGGATGGCTGAGGTTCCCCATCTAAGTTTTCTGTGCAATCAAGGCAATCCGCTACTCAAGTGGCATCAGCTGCATGATGGGTGGAGGGAACCTTTCCCTTGAACATCCAGTTCAGCACTGGCAGCTGAGTTGGGATAAATCAATTCTATCCCTTTATAACTTGAGGGCATCAAAGTGCACTAGGCACCGATGTCCACCAATGTCTTATATTCCTGTGGTTCTGAAGTGCTAGACCATTGAATCCACACAGTCCAACACACTCTATTATCCCTTTCTCTCCCCAACTGAGGGCAGGGCCCCTCTACTGGTTACTTGCAGTAATGGGAGCAATTTCAGTGGTGGTTAATCTGCTTTGTAATTCTCTCACCCATGCTCATAGTGCAGGAGTGGGTTTGTCGTACCACTTCTTCAAGTCCTCACCATGCTCGCAGAAGTAGCTCCACAGAGCAGCATGCAATATAGATTTACTGCAGTCATTTGCTCGAGCAGGGAGGTGTTTGATAGCTAAGACTTTAATCAGTTTGATCAGCTCCTTCAGCAGATTCTTTTGATCATCCTGGTCTTCATCGGGTGTTTCTGATACTGTCACGGGTTCATCATGTTTAATCACTAGGAACAATTCTTCCAGCAATCCGTCCCGTTTCTTCTCCATTTTTGTCTAGTCTTTGTCATTTGGGAGATGGCTGAGATGGAAGCATAGGATGGCAGTAATTTTTGGTCAAAGTTTTGAAGTGTAAGAATCAGTTCAAAAACTGAGGGGCCTTCTGTTTAGGTCCTTGTATCTTTCAAATGTTACTACCAGTGTACTGGCATACCTTTCCAGTGCTGTTCTTGTGAGTTTCCACCTCATATCAGGTGTACTCCTCACTCTCTCAGGATCACAGCCCTGGCATGGATCGTTATGAACAAAACGTGGGAACATACAGCGTTTCCAACATGGCTGTTTCTTTCAAATATTGGATGCCTTTCTTGACAGTATTCCATTCTCTCATCTCAGGCTCCAGATCATCTTTGAAGGGATGTCTTCACAGCTAATATCATTCGTTCCCAGAGGGTGGCAACTCCGTTCAGACATCTACTAATCCCTCTGTCAATAGCTGAGTCTTGGGCAATGTTTCCTAGTTGGCAAGCTTTGTTACCATCTATGGACACGCTATTGGTCCCGCTGTCCCAACACCAAAGCAACCAGGTGACAATAGTTTCATTCAGGTGCTGTATAAAATCCTTTATTGAGCCCTGGATTTCAGTCATTTTCGGGGGTTAATTAATAGTGGTAACAGTGATTTCCTCCTCCTCACTTTCTTCTCCATGTCTCTTATTTTTCTCAGTTGCCTTTCTTGGTGATGGTGGTTCTGGGGAGGGCCTCACCTGGATCTTTCTCTACTTCCTCTGCTTCTTCTTCTTTCCATTCAAGACGCGAGGACACCCATTTCCATTTATGGCCTTCCACAGGGGCAACTGACACTGATACTGGTGCTTCCTGTGATCAGTTGGGCTTGACTTGGAGGTTTTTCCCCCTTTGGTTTGGATCTCAATTTGGAAACTCTCTCTCTCCAGAATAGTATAATATAGAGCTCAGTAAGCACAAGCCAAGCCCCAAATAAGCCATTCCTCCTCAGATCTTTCTGAGCTGCACCATCCCTTACTCAAATACTCGCTTAGTTTCTCAGGATCCCACAGGTGTTCAAGAGTAAAATCCCATGACACCGGGGGTCTCCACACTTCTAATCTCTTTCCTAACCCTCTCCGTATCCCCTGCCATTCAACATTTCTCTGGTTTGGGGAAAAGCTTCCTCCACATAATATAAAATACTATTGCAGAAAATACATTTAGAGAGACTGATAACACAGTACCTAAGCTGGCATTCCGAACATGCTTAAGAAACTGAGAAGAGTACCTGGAAACCAGTCCAAACATCATTTTGTCTATCAAATTAACCGGGATGTAGAGGAACCAGGCAGGTATCTCCATCAGGGCCCTTAATTGGCTCTACATATATGCAACTCCAACACTGAACATGATGAACTTAAAAAGAAACTAATTAATTCCAAGGAACATAATGGTCCTTAGTCCTCTATACAATGCTCTTAAAATGAAGTAGAGATCCATAGCTGCCCACATTCTCCACCAGTAACTGTCACGGAGTAATGAGATCTGAGTCCATGACAGGGGCACAAACCTAGAAAGAGACAAGAGAGCGGAAAAAAAACCATTCCACCTTTGCAGTGCAGCTGGCCCTGGGCGGGCCATGCGCTCCAGGAGAGTGGGAAGATTAGGGAGATGGCAGATGGGTCTAAAAACTACAATGGCAATGATCTGAGGAGGAACAGTCATTTACTAAATCCAACAGAATCAAACAAACTGAGAGAGAAAAGTGTGTCCAAAATACGAGATAGCAGATGAGTAGTCTTACGCTAGTAGACTGCAGGGGAAGCACTGCTTTTTCTCCGCAGCAAACAAAGATAGCTCAAGTCAATGAGAGGGAGCTGCTGGTGTCCTGCCAGGAGCTCCACCTTTCTTCCTCTGCGTGCTAAGTCCTCCAGGAACGCTGCTCCTCCCCTCCCCTCTGAGAAAACCAAAATGCCCCAAAAAAGCAATCCATGGAACCAAAACATTAACTCTTTAACACCCTGTTTTACATGACGGAATACCGACAACAAAAATCACAAAACCACAACACTGGCCTAGTGGTTGGTGACCCTGCCCATAGCAGAGGGGTTTAAACTAGATGATCTTCAAGGCCCTTTTTAACCTAGGCCATTCTATTTTATGATTAGCAGACTTAACCTGTCAGCCGCAGCTCATGACCTCACTGTTCTCACATTAGCTCTGATGCTCCTGATGTTACACGATAATTCACCAAATTGCTTTTAGTTCCTTTTAATAGAAGGTCAAGGTTCTCCCTTCTTATGCTTTGAATCAAATCACTGTGTACATGTGTGCTCCCCTCTCAGGCTGCAGCAGGCTGTTCATTCACCTTGAGCCTAATGAAATTGCATTTTGCTTCCCATATCACTGATTAATCACTGTGCAGTAGTAACATCCCATTCTGCAAGCAGCTTAAAAAAAAAAAAAAAAAAAAAGCAACCAGTGTTCCCTTGGAACTGGTTGTGTTTCTACAGGTGTACTGCTGTGTATAATCATCTCACTGACCAAAGCAAAAGGAATACAGGCATTCTGAAAAAGTGAGAGTAATTGCCACACCACTCCAACCCCAGCCAGGAACCAAACTCTGCTACTACTGCAAGGCTTCAATTATGCATTGTAACAGGCTCTTTGTCTTCTATGTGTGATAGAAAACTGTCACACACATTCAGGGAAGAGACATCTGTATTTTGCTGACAATGCAGGTGAAGGAAGCAAAGTGGTGACAAGATACGCCCCACACACCATCTAACACACTTGCTGCCTCTTCCCACCTCACCAAACCTCTCTTTCGTGACATGTGGAACAGCTCATAGGCTCCAGTCATACAAACCAAAGAAACGCAGTAAGGCACATACTGAGGGAAGCAGACACTCAAGCCAGCCCCAGCACACAGCAGAATTGGTTGCACCAGAAGGTCCTTGTACAGCTCGTGTCCCACATCCAGTGGCAGCCAGGTGCCAGCTGTTGCCATGTGTGGCAGCTGCCTCTTGCTCAGCCTCTAGCTCTGTAATTCAGGTCTGTATTGGAACCATATCAGCTTGCCCTTAGGCAGCTGGTGTTCACAGTTGAACAGAACTGTCAGTCAGAGATCACTGCTATTCAACTTGCAAGAAGACAGATTCTTTTCTGTGGTCTAGCAAAACTTGCCCTCCAAAAAAGTTCAATTAAAAGCGTTTTATGTTTCACTGCTAATACCATCAGAGGAGTACTCAAAAATCCTCAGGCATTTTCTGGCAAAAGCATAGTTTAGTTCTGCTGTCAGCAATTAAACACCAAAAGATGTTTTGCTTCCAACAGGCAAAGGAACCTCTTCATAAACGACTTTGAGATAAGGGAATTTCATAGGTAAAAACCAGTATTCCAAGTTGTAAAAGAGGTAAAACTGATGATTCAAGATGACACGATCAATTATTTTTAAGAGATCCACAAAAAACTCTCTGGCTGTTTTGTGAGGTTTGAAGGGATAGTAGAAGTCTCTTATAGCTGCTGCCAGCGTCTTGTTTCCTAGAGGTCCAAAAATTGATGTTTCATTTCCCAAATAAATAGGTTCTCCACTGAATAATATTATGCTGGTATAGTTTGTTTGGATCTTATTGAACGTAGCTCCCAGGTCAGCCAACTTCTGGTATGTTCTCAGTATGAATTTAGAGCATTCATAAGAGTCAAACCATACAATTGATTTTTTTTCAGGACTTGCTTGAACTGTCCAGGTTTCATAGTAAATGCCTGTCTCATTGTCGTACGTCACCCATTTTGCCATTTCATTAAACATAGTTCCTGTAAGAGATGGAAATAAGTATTACAGAGACGAGGGAACAAATATACATCTCAAAATGTTTTCTCTCCAGGTTCATCTCCCTTCTCTGCAAAAGTTTACCTACCACATTAACTATCCGCAGAGATGCAAGGTATACGTTGGAGGGAGAATTCATACTCATTCAATAAACTAAAAGTAACTTCTTATCTGTAAATGTAAGTTGCCCAAATGGCATTTTTTTTCCTGCCATGTCTGTCACGGAGTTATCTCTAGATCTGAGTCTGTAACAGGGGCATAAACACAGAAAGAGACAGAAGAGAGAGAACCAGAACATTAACTCTTTAACTTCCACTGTTTTATATGACGTTCTGATATAGAATACTGACAACAAAAATCACAAAACCACAACACCTGTCCCTTGCTACTATGCCAGAACTTTAAAACTTTGGAGAAGTGACACTCATTGTTGCATTTTATCCATGCAGACAAACAGAGCAGGTAGTACTATCTGCAACATATGCTGACAATGTTCACCAGAGCAACAGGTGTTTCTGCCCTTCCTATAATTGTAACTAAATTCTGTAATTCGAGGCCAAGTTTTCCATTGTTCTTCACAAAAGAAAGTTAAGTAACCTCTGACTGGGACAGCTGACACCTCCTCAGCCAGGATGTCAAACTAAGCCAAAATATAGAAGTGGAACATGAAGACCAGCAAACTTAAATACTTAGGTTGTATATATGTATATTTGGAGTACATAATTGAAATGTTCTGCTGAATGGTCATTTCACAAATGAAATGGGAAAAACATCTCTAACTCAGTTTATCTCTGTCATAGCACCCTATGGGTGATGAATCTGCCTCCTCAAAACAGATGTGAAGCACAGGGCTCATCTGTGTGTTTTCCCCCATATTCCTAGCCATATATTTCAGCTCAGCTCTTCCCTCAGTCTCTGCACTGGGTACAACTGTCTTTGACTCAGATCCAACTATCACCTCACATTCATAACTCAGCCACATTTTTTTAATGCAATATATCAGAAGACCGTCAGATGACAGCTTGCAATCCTGGGGCTGTTCTAAGCCACAGTCTCTTGAGCTGCAAGTGTCACTGCCGTGCGACTGTGCTTGGGCTAATGAGTGATCTGTGACTGTCACTAATGTTGCCCTACACACAACAACAGGCTCTCACATTTACTTAATGTAGTATCTTTCCCAAGCTTCAAGGAGAGTACTGCATGCCCCACAAAATCCCCCAACACAAGCTGCGTAAGTCTTGTTTCCAAACCTACTCTTCATTACAGAAGACATGCACGTCACACTTATTCCAAGGGAAGGCATGCATGCAGGCAGATACCACAGAGCAATGACAGCTCTGCACTCTGTCTTCTCAAGCTGCCCCTTTATAACTTGTTCCTCATACTCATGTTTTTGGACTTCACAGTAAACATGACAATCATTCTGTTTAACTGTCCACTACTTTGTTTAGAATCTGTATCAAGAACTGCACTTAGTACATTGTAGTTGTGCTTGCAGCTCCCTTTTATCTTTTCTAATTCCTACCAGATTAGCTTCCCAGGGGGTATTCTGCAATGTACGTCACTGAACAGGATTTGTCTCTCCTAACAAGACCAAGATGGACTTAACATGAAGTTCTGGCTTTAACAACTTTAGCTAACCAAAAATATTACAGGTTCATGCCTGGTAATACTGTCCTGGTCAACAACACTTAAAAAAAAAAGAAATAAATCAAAATGCTTCATTGTGGCCTTTGACACTGCTGATCAACCATCTGTTAGGGTTTTGAAGAGGAAAGAGGGCCCACCTGTCCCATGGATTGAAGTCCTCTCCCACAAGGTGAGATGCTTTTGTCAGGTCAGACAGGTCATAATTCTGTCTGCCTTTGTAAACATTCTGCCATGGCAACTTTCAGATTCCTAGTCAAATTCAGAGACGCCACCTTCCTATAAGCTTTGTGGACATGGGAAGAAAGACAGCCTAGGACAATAACAATGCCTCCAGAGGCACCAGAGCCTCTCTTTACATAGCCATTAAATAATCCATGCAGGCAGAGAGCACTACAAATTCCACAAATGTATGAAATATTTATCTTAGTGTTTGCACAAAATAATCTAACCATCTCAGGCATTGAAGCCTTCGGTTATGAGATACAAACTCACAGGAAAGCAGCTTCACTGTTTCACTGCTTAAAGAGCCACCTAGAATTTCTTTGCTAAAGCAGTGAGAGAATGTAGGGACTGTGCCCAACACACACCCGCTGTTATCAGACACTGAAGGCTGCCTTTAACCACTTACTATACCACCTTTAGAAGTTAGTTGTTTTATTCAAGTTCTCAGGGAGCTTCGTTCACAACTCATCCACCGTATTACTACAGTCATCAACCAGACTTATTTAGATGACTTTTTCATTTTAGGATTTCAGTTTTCAGTATATACCAGAAAGTTATTCTGGTGATCATCCATGAATTTAGTGGAATAAATCCTTGCTTTGTTCTATGACATATAACAGAAAAGACCTTTTACTAGGGACATTTGCACGGCTTTTATGACACAAAATGGGGAATATGGAAATTGAGATGAGTATTTTTGACATCTATGTCAGTATTCTTAAATATGTCTTAATTACTTGTTTGGTAATACACATTTTTTTCACCAATTTTTCCATTCCCAGCAGTCATCCACTCCTTCACAATAGAGGGCTTGGTTTTGATGACAGCATGTGAAAACTCCATGACTTCTCTGTATAAGCTATTATTCTATTTTTATAGTGAGGAGACTCAAGTGGTTTTGCACAGCAACTTCCAATGACACTCACTTAACAACACTTCAGTGCGTCCTGTTCAAAAGGCAGCAGCCTCATATCCCTTTCTGTCATAAAAGAAGTGCAGAGATAGCATTGAAATCAGAAGAATCAGCCACTTACACTACAAAGATGAAAAGACTTCTTAACCTGAAGACAAAGTTGACTGCATTTTATAATATTAGTACCATCCAAAGCATCTGAAATATACCTGATATTTTGGTCACAAGAACCAGAGTTCCGTTTTCCTTCCAGTGTGCATCATCTATTCCTTCATAAAAGCAAGCAGCTCCCTGGTTACACCAGAACGGTGCATCCATTCCAGGACGGAGATGTGGAAACGTGCAGTTCCCAAGCTGGAAGAGCTCATACCACTCCATTGTGTAGTTTTTGCCAGTTAAACTGCTCTTGAAGCCCACAGCATCATGCATAATTTTCTGGAAAATAACAAAAACTTTAACAGAAAGAAAAATAATTCTATAAAACTGCCAGCAGCTTGACCTGCACACCAGATCAGGTGCTTGAGAGCTGTTGAGTAGCAGGGTGGGAAGAGGGGAAGTGGCTCCTACTGCCATTTTCAATAGTGTTGCTGCACAACATACCAGATGGTATCACGCACATACTTCTAACATGGAATCAGGCTGTCTCAGTGTTTGTTTATCTATCCATCGTGCATTCTGTTATCTGGAGGCAGACACTCAGTGGGACCTCAACATAAAACCCACACTTACTTTTAATGCCTACCTCACAAAGGAATCAAAGAAATAAGGATCAAAACTGCGTTACTAGCAACAGACCTTAGCAATGAAAGCCACAAAACAACTGAGATAAGTATTTATTTTTAAAGCTGTACAGTAAATTAATAAATTCAGTCTCAGTTTAACAAGTAAGGTAAAGACATTTGAAGCTATCTCTATTTTTGGCTCTGTGCTTTGTTTTGATTTTGCTGCTTTATGTTCATTAATATTTCTTTATTCATTAGGGATCAAGCTCTGAAGCTTATTTATGCTAGTTACAGCTATAAATATTGTTGAAGTTGAGATTATATCATATTTGTATGACTCCACATAGATCTGAATTCCATAGTAATTAAAATATCCAAGAAAATGCACTGCTTCTGCAGTAAAGAAACTCAAATTGTAATAATGCATGTATATGAAATACTTCCAGTGTGCAGCTTGGTAGTGGAACACACTCATGCTATATATAATGCTGGTCATGCTCTCTTCTTTAGCTGAAGTGAATTCTTTAATTTTTTCCAGAAACTTACTGTTCTTCAGTAAGTTTCACATTATTGACCCTGGCTGTTAAATCTTCTGAATCTCCTGCTACAGCTTTGCTAAACAAAAACATCATCTTACCAAATGTCCAAGTAGATCCCCATATTTAAATTCCCATACTGGAGCCTGTAATCGATACACTTCAATAATATCTTCTTCTTGCATAACTGGAATAGCAGAGCCAGTGGGACAAAAAGTGTAACGAGCTTGGCAGTAAGGATCTGTTTTTGGACGGAAATCAAAGCGCCTGTGTTGAGAAAGAGAAGCACAGACAATAGTAAGCACAGCTTCACTGCTGGAGTCATCCCTCTAACTTCCTAAGAGCCTATGTCAGAGAGCTCAGGTGTGTGGCACTTCCCAAAGCTAGACACTGTGATACAGATGCTGTAATGCTTGGAGAGTACAAGTCTGTAACACTGCTGAGGCACACATAGGACTCACAAGTCTTTCTTTCCCCATCTCCTTCAGATTCACTCACTGTACCTCACCTACAGAAAGGTTCCTACATTCCTGTTAAGAAGGTGAAAGCTGGAAAGTAAACACACAGCCAGAAAACAGACTTATGCCAGCCATACATTTAAGTCCTATTTCTAAAATACCTGAAGTTTTCATTTCCCCTCCCACTGCATCTGCACATGACAACAAGCAAGTTACGAAGCACTGTAACAATGCATTTCCAAGTGTCAGACTGAAAGGCCTGTGCTGTGATTTTGACCATCCTGAGACCAAATCTTGCAAGTACTGAGCTTACTGGAAAATCTGGACGACTCCTGACTGCAAGATCAACTTCTTAGGCACCACCTAATATAAATGTAGCTGTAAAAACTATAATAAAGCTTTCAGAGCCTCAAACATTCAGCAGATTTTTTACTCAGAGGTGGTAAGGCACTGGAACAGGTTGGCCAGATTGCTGCTGGGTACTCTATCCCTGGAGACATTCAAGGCCAGGCTGGACCCCAGGAACTACAGGCCGGTGA